GCTAGAATTTGTATGATATTGGCCTGTATCATTGGATGTCTTGCTCTGATCGTTCCGCCGTTGTTTTGGTCTGGTAGAGTAGCACGAATTGGTGTAAGTGAGTCGAGAAGATCATATGAATCTCAGTTTACAGCAGGTACATGACCGTATAACCGTTGCATTAACGATGACATCATTATATCCGATCAAAAATCACGAAAGTCCAAGGCCGCAACTATTAACAATTATGATATAATCAAAGACAAAGCTGACGTACAATCACATTGTACTGAAAAAAATAATTATAATTTAACGGCAATGGCTGCCGCCATATAGTAAATACCGGTCAATTAAGCACATTTATATCTTTATCACTTGTACGCCAGCACAAAGTTGAGGACCCGCTCGGCAGGCATACTTTTACACTTGTATAGAGAAACAATTAATCTCTAACAAAAATTGTTAAATATTTTGTTAATTGTCATGGGAAGGTGCACATAGTATAGCAATAACACACGATAGACATACAATCGTTCGTGCTTTGAATAAATGCTGGTACATGTATAGAGATCTGAGTATGTTAAATCACATAAATATTGCCATGGCAACTCAACATCATTGCATATAATGCACAAATCGGACAATTGTTGTTTATAGATATGTAAATTTAAACATTTCTTTGGAAACGACAGCAATTTAAAAACTGTATACATTATTTCACTAAACTTTGGCTACAATATATAAAAATTTGTAACCCGGAAACCACAACAGATGAGTTGAAAATGTTTATATATTTTCCAGGTGCTTTGGTGCTTGTTGGATCAGCGACCTTCGCAATAGCCATAGAGGCAAATTCAGAGTTTTTTGGATTTTCTCTCATTCTCTGCTGGATCGCACCTGTGATATGTTTCGTTGGGGCACTTTGTCTATATTTGAATACAAAAGACTGCACGGCAACAACATCTGTAGTCCCTGCCCAAGGAACAACAATAATCCTTAATAGCAGCACCATCTCGATCGATACGAATACCGGATTTGCTCCGCAGGCTACCACCCCTTCCCAATAACCAGATGTCAACGCTGAGAACACTGATTGATGGCCAGACATGAGTACCAATCGGAGCACGAAAATAGACAAGCCTGATGAATTAAATAAGGGCAGACCCC